ACCCTAACCCCTAACCCTAACCCCTAACCCTAACCCCTAACCCTAACATCAGCAACTTTTCATGCTAAAAAAAAAAAAGAGAAAAGAAAAGAAAGATGCCTTGGATTATAACTTTTTTTTTTCCTTAACCATAAAAGCTTAATGAGTAACTATAAAAACTTTATATATGATAAACAAATATCCTTTCCTTCATTCATTTCTGGTCTTACATAACTGACCCCTTCCTCTTCTAGACAGGGATATCATATCTAAAATTCAGGCCCATTTAAGTCTCCTTGATAATCCAGTGATTCTTATGACATTCTTGTCCTTCAGTGCTGTGTCCCTAATGGTCTAGAGTTGACTGGGGCCTCAGACAACACCATCCTATACTCTCTGTACAGACACCCACATTATCTAAAAAAAAAATCTTAAATTCTAGGATACTTCCATTCCTGAGCACTCATTAACAGCAATTTCTGTCACAATTACTCTTAAAGATCCTAATCAATTCAGGTGCAGTAACACATGCCTACAATCTCAGCACTCAGGGAGGCAGAGACAGGTGGATCACTGTGAGTTTAAGACCAGCCTGATCTACAAAGTGAGTCCAAGACAGCCCTTAAAGTTTCAAGGTATTAAAAGGCTTACTGATGATAAAGCCCAAAGGGGGTAGCATTGGTTACAAATGGTTGGGCATGGGCAGATCCCATGAGCCTGCTGGAGCTGAAGTCAGACCTCTCTGTTGTGGTCTGCACTGTATCTACTCTTTAGTGGACCACACACTTAAAGGATGACCACCAGGAAGAAAGTGTTACTGAAGTTCATTATGCTGGGAGGTTCTGGTGTTAGAAAGATATTGCTCATGAACCAGTACGCGAATAAGAAATTTAGTAGCCAGTACAAAGACACATTCAGAACAGTCTTTCTGACCAAGGAGGTGATGATGGATTACAGACTTGTAACCATGCAGATCTGGGATACAACCAGTCAAGAATGATTCTAGTCTCTTGGTGTGGCCTTCTACAGAGATTGCTGCATTCTGGTGTTTGATTTGACTGCTCCCAACACATTCAAAACCCTTGGCAGCTAGAGAGATGAGTTTCTTATTCAGCCTAGCCCCTGGGATCCCAAGAACTTCCCTTTTGTTGTGTTGAGAAACAAGGCTGACCTCAAAAAACAGACAAGTGGCCCCAAAGAGAGCTCAGGCTTGGTGCTATAGCAAAAATCAACATTCCCTCCCTTGAGTCCAAGGAGGTCATCAATGTGAGTAGCAGGCCTTCCAGACAATGGCTTAAAATGTCCTTAAGCAGGAAACAGAAGTGGAGCTATACAATGAATTTCCAAAACCCATCATACTGGACCAGAATGATATGGCCAAGGCCTCCACAGAGAACTGTAGAAGAAATCTCCCAGTTGTTGAAGTGAACATAGAGGACGGAGGTTTTTTGTTGTTGTTGTTGTTTTTGTGTTTTTTGTTTTGTTTTGTTTTGTTTTGTTTTGTTTTTTTTCTCACCAAGAACACACACTTAGGCCTTTAATATGTACCAGTCCTCCTCTAAACAGAATAGAACATCATCTCTCACATCCAGCTGCCAAAAGAAACTACCAAACACAGTTATAAAGCACACAGAGAGAGAGAAAGGGAGAGAGCAAACCCCAACCTGTGTCTGTCAGGGCTCCTGGGGCAGTTGCTCACCATGAGCCCTGTGCATGGCATATGGCAGAGACCCTGGGTACAGTGGGCATGAAAAGCTTACTCTTTTTGTCCACTGGAGAGTGGAAGGACTGTTCACAGTTCTTCTATATCTAATTATCTGATTTTTTAAAATAGTTTTGTAGTCTTTTACCCCTACACCTCCTTGAAGATCTTGTAGGAAGGCTGGTGCCCACACTCTATTCTGAACAGGTTGTTTTGTATGTATCTGTTAATGCTTGCTACTTTAATCAGATCTTTTTATACAGTATCCATTTAGTATGTAATGTGCCTTAGAAAAGAATCTAATAGTACGTGTCAATATATGCAACCTGTTGAAATGTATAAATTAGTGTAAGAATTCCTAGATTGTGTGTCTAAGTCCTCAAATGCAGGCATACATGATGTAAGGTTGAACTTTGTCTAGATTACAGAGTGTTAGAGACTTAAATCTGGAAGTCTAACTAGTGGCAGTATTCTGTACAGTAGACACAAGAATTGTGTACTCTTTTTATCAAAGACTTAAGAGAAAAAAAGCTTTTCATCTTTCCAGAAGGAAAACTGAACTAGACAGTTCCCTTTTGTGTCTAAATTTCCCAAAAGGTTGATCTGCATAATATAATAATGTGTACAATGGACAAATTGCTGTTACTTCAGAAATTAAAATTCTCATTTTTCTCTGAAAAAAAAATGGAGGTTTACTAATGCTCAGTAACCCCTGGCTACTGAGCTACTGTGTCCCTGTAGCTCTTCATACAACATCCCTACCATATCAGTAAAAAAGCGGGGGGCAGATTGATCCTTCAGAAGAGCTCAGAGTCTAAGGGCCATAAATGAAGCACTGGTTCCAATCTACCGTATGTTTTCCTCGCACTTTCTTGGGGAAGATACCCACCAATACCTACTTATTCACAGTATTAGACCTCAAGTATTAGACCTTTCTTTTAGATTCCTGTATACTCAGATTCTCAATTCTTATTTGCCTCCATCCAGTTTATTCAACAGCTTTCCTGGAATGCCCTAGGCAAATACTTGTCTTCATTAACTTTAACTGTCAACTTGACACAACCTGAAGTCATCAGAGAGGAATTCCTCCATCAAGGAACTGCTTAGATCAGATTACCCTGTGGAAGTTTTGGTGGAAGATTATTTTATTAATTGATACAGGAGATCTCAGATTTCTGTGGGTGGCACCATCCCTAAGGAAGTCTGAGCTGTATAAAAAGGCTAGTAGAGTGAGCCAGGAAATAGCATTCCACATTTCTCCTTGGTCCAAGGTTCCTTTTACCTCAAAGTTCCAAATTTGAGTTCCTGCCCTAACTTCACATGATGTTGGATTGTGATTTAAAAGTATAAGCCAACAATCTCTTTCCTCTTTAACTTACTTTTAGACAGTTTGTATTGCAGCAACAAAATGAAACTAGAGCATTTATTCCAGACAAATTTCTTCTTAGGAATAAACTTAATACATGGATGATTTATCTATCTGCAGGCTAAACAAAATTATTTTAGATCAAAATATTGTTCCAACTGTTCAAGAGAGGTCTGAACCCTTAAAAATTCACCACAAGCAACAGGGAAGGCAATGTCAGATGTTTGGCCATAAGGAGCAAAGGGTGGTACTTAGTGCTAATTCAATTAACAACTCCAGTTAAACAAGTTACCTCCAGTTAAAATGGAGCCTCTCATTGGACAACAAAAACTGTTGATGCAAAACATAGTAAATAAGAACGAGTTTATTTTGGATACAAATATAAGATGTGTTTCTTTTAGGCTGCATAGAAATAATACTTAATTTTTAGTGCTATGCTCATTCCCTGAGTGATGCTGACAATGAAAGCAAGGCCAATATCAGACTGAAGGGACTAGGGGAGCCCAAAGTGAGAGATAAGTTGTTCTATGAAGACAACTGCTACCTCTAATGTCCTCTGTTTCAGTGGGGAATGCTTCTATCTGCAACAAGCAGAACTAGCCAATATTTTAGTCTCTTGCATAGGGACATAGGAGCATAATCTTTTTGTCAGTCTTTTCCTGGAATAGTGTTCCTATGCTGGACAGGTTGTGAAAGGGTGTGTATAAGGGGTTGAGAGGAGAATGGATAAGAAATGGGTCTGGAGTATCAAGAAAATGACTATAAAATTCAACATATCTTGGAAAGGCAAATGTTTTACTTCTGCAGAAGGCCATTCTAAAGTCAGCCAGCCAGCCTAATCAGCAGAGGTCCCAACAGCTTTTTATCCCTACTGAATAAAGATTCTGTGCCTCACTCTAAGTGGTCAAGGTTCAGCATCATGTTCGTATGCTATTAGCATATGTGATTAGCATAAGAACAGTGTAGCTTCAAGAGACAAATGAAACAAGCATATATTTAATTTTATAAAGTGTTAGCCCTGGAGTAATTAAAATATTTTCTTATTTATTTATTTTTTATTTTTTTCATATTAGTTAGTTTGTTAACTTTGTATCTCTGATGTATCCTGTTCCCTTTTTTCCTCCCAATCCCACCCTCCCTCTCTCATCTCCTCCCTTCTGCTTTCCAAGTACACTGATAGGGAAGGACCTCCTCCCATTTCATCTGATCCTGGTTTATCAGGTATCTTTAGGACTGGCTGCAAAGTTCTTCTGTGTGGCCTAACAGGGCTGCTCTTCCCTCGGGGGGGGGGGGTCAAAGAGCCCGCCATTGAGGTCATGTCAGAAACACTCCCTGTTCCCCTAATTACGGTACCCACTTGGATACTGAGCTACCATGGGCTACATCCAAGCAGAGGTTCTAGGTTATATCCATACATGGTCCTTGGTTGGAGAAACAGTCTCATAAAAGATCCCTGTGCCCAGATATATTTGGTCCTTGTGGAGCTCCTGTCCTCTCCAGGTCATATTAAATGCCCCTTCTTTATTATGATTACCTGCGTTCTGCCAAAGGTTTGGTTATGAGTCTTTTTTTTAATTTTTTTTATTAATTACACTTTATTCACTTTGTATCCCTCCATAAGCCCCTCCCTCCTCCCGTCCCAGTCCCACCCTTCCTTCCCATTCTTCACGCATGCCCCTCCCCAAGTCTACTAATAAGGGAGATCCTCCTCTCCTTCCTTCTGATTTTAGTCTATCAGATCACATCAGGAGTGACTGCATTGTCATCTTCTGTGGACTGGTAAGGCTGTTCTCCCCTCAGGGGTAGGTGATCAAAGAGCAGGCCAATCAGATTATGTCAGAGGCAGTCCCTCTTCCCATTACTATGGAACCTACTTGGACACTAAACTGCCATGGGGTACATCTGTGCAGGGGTTCTAGGTTATCTCCATGCCTGGTATTTGGTTGGAGTATGAGTCTCTGGGAAGACCCCTGTGTTCAAATTTTCTGGTTCTGTTGCTCTCCTTGTGGGGTTCCTGTCCTCTCCAGATCTTACTATTTCCCACTTCTTACATAGGATTCCATGCACTCTGCCCAACAGTTGGCCATAAGTCTCAGCATCTGCTTTGATAGTCTGCAGGGCAGAGCCTTTCAGAGGCCCTTGTGGCAGGTTTCTAATTGTTTCCTGTTTTCTTCTTCTTCTGATGTCCTTCCTCTTTGCATTTCGGGATGGGGATTGAGCAGTTTAGTCAGGGTCCTTTCTCTTAATTAGTTTCTTTAGATGAACAGATTTTAGTAGGTTTATCCTATGTTAGGTCTATATGAGTGAGTATAAACCCTGTGTGTCCCTCTGCTTTTGGGACAGCTCACTTAGGATGATCCTTTCCAGGTCCCACAATTTACCTGCAAATTTCATGATTTCCTTATTTCATTGCACAGTAATACTCCACTGTGTAGATGTACTACAATTTCTGCATCCATTCTTCAGTTGAGGGACATCTGGACTGTTTCAAGGTTCTGGCTATTACAAATAAAGCTGCTACAAACATGATTGAGCAAATGTCCTTATTGTGTACTTGAGTCTCTTTTGGATATATGCCTAGGAGTGGTATGGCTGGATCTTGAGGAAGCACTATTCATAGCTGTCTGAGAAAGCACAAAATTGATTTCCAGAGTGGTTGTACAAGTTTACATTACCACCAGCAGTGGAGGAGGGTTCGCCTTTCTCCGCAACCTCTCCAGCATGGGTTGTCCCTTGAGTTATTAATCTTGGCCATTCTGATAGGTGTAAGGTGAAATCTCAGGGTCGTTTTGATTTGCATTTCAGTGATAGTTAATGATGTCGATCATTTCTTTAAGTGTTTCTCTGCCATTCTATATACTTCTATTGAGAATTCCCTTTTTAGCTCTGTTCCCCATTTTAATTGGATTACTTGGTTTGCTGCTTTTCAGCTTCTTTAGTTCTTTATATATACTGTATATTAGCCCTCTGTCAGATAAAGGGTTGGTGAAGATTCTTTCCCAACCTGTAGGCAGTTGTTTTGTTTTGATGACGGTGTCCTTTGATTTACAGAAAATTTTCAGTTTCATGAGGTCCCATTTATTGATTGTTGCTCTTAGAGCCTGTGCTGTTGGTGTTCTGTTCAGGAAGTTGTCTTCTGTACTAATGAGTTCTAGGGTTTCCCCCACTTTTTCTTCTAGACGATTTAATGTGTCTGGTTTTATGTTGAGGTCTTTGATCCACTTGGATTTCAATTTTGTGCAGGGTGATAAGTATGAATCTATTTGCATTTTTCTACATGTAGACATCCAGTTAGACCAGCACCATTTGTTGAAGATGCTATCTTTTTTCCATTGTATGGTTTTGGGATCTTTGTCAAAAACCAGGTGTCCATAAGTGTGTGGGTTTATTTCTGGGTCTTCTGTTTGATTCCATTGATCCACCATTCTGTTTCTATGTCAGTACCATGCAGATTTTATTACTGTTGCTCTATAATACAGCTTGAGATGAGAGATGGAGGTACCTCCAGAAGATCTTTTATTGTAGAGGATTGTTTTAGCAATTCTGGGTTTCTTATTATTCCATATGAAGTTGAGAATTTTTCTTTCCAGGTCTGAAAAGAATTTTGTTGGTAATTTGATGGGAATTGCATTGAATCTGTAGATTGCCTTTCGTAACATGGCCATTTTTATTATGTTAATCCTGCCAAGCCATGAGCATGGGAGATTTTCCCATCTTCTGATATCTTCTTCTAATTCTTTCTTCAGAGACTTGAAATTTTTTTCATACAAGTCTTTGAATTGCTTGGATAGGGTTACACCAAGGTACTTTATGTCATTTGTGGCTATTTTGAAGGGTGTTGTTTCCCTAATTTCTGTCTCAGACCTTTTGTCTTTTGTATACAGGAGTGCTACTGATTTTTTTGAATTAATTTTGTACCCAGCCACTTTGCTGAAGGTGTTTATCAGCTGATGGCATTCCATGTTAGACTTTTTGGAGTCACTCATGTATACTATAATATCATCTGCAAATAGTGATAATTTGACTTCTTCCTTTCCAAGTTGTATCCCCTCGATCTACTTCAACTGTCTTATTGCTCTAGCAAGGACTTCCAGCACTATGTTGAAGAGATATGGAGAGAGTAGGCAGCCTTGTCTTGTCCCTGATTTCAGTAGGATTGATTTAAGTTTCTCTCCATTCATTTTGATGTTGGCTATAGGCTTGCTGTACATTGCCTTTACTATGTTTAGATATGTGCCTTGTATCCCTGATCTTTCCAATACTTTAAACATGAATGGATGTTGGATTTTGTCAAATGCTTTTTCAGCATCTAGAGAGATTTTCATGTGTTTTTTTTCTTTCAATTGTTAATATGGTGGATCACATTGATGAATTTCTGTATATTGAACCACCCCTGCATATCTGGGATGAAGCCTACTTGGTCATAGTGGATGATATCTTTAAGGTGTACTTGTATTCGGTTTGCAAGTATTTTGTTGAGTATTTTTGCATCAATGTTCAAAAGGGAGACTGGCCTGAAATTTTCTTTCTTTGTTGGGTCTTTGTGAGGTTTAGGTATCAAGGTGATTGTGGCTTCATAGAATGAGTTTGGTAATGTTCCTTCTTTATCTATTTTGTGGAATATTTTGAAGAGAATTGGTGTTAGCTCTTCTTTGAAGGTCTGGTAGAATTCTGCGCTGAAACCATCTGGTCCTGGGCTTTTTTTGGATGGGAGACTTTTGATGACCTCTTCTATTTCCTTGGGGGATATAGGACTATTTAATTGATTTACCTAGTCCTGATTCAACTTTGATAAGTCAAATCTATCAAGAAAATTGCACAGAGTTTCTCAGGGTCAGAGCAGTCTGCTGTAGGACCATCACCAAGGTCATTTTATGAGAAACTGGACTTTGGAAAATAACCATTTCATTAGTTTTGTGGCATATAGACTTTCTGCTCAGATGCCATTAACTCCAAATTTGCCATTAACTCCAAAAAGGGTGCCACACAACTATATGGTCTATTTTGGAGAAGGTTCCATCAGGTACTGAGAAGAAGATAAATTTC